CTAGCAAGCAGAAATGCTTATGTTTATGGAACAATTGTATTAGTGTATAGAATTCCACCCTCACAGTTGTGCATATTAGACATAGTTTAAGGGCCCTTTTTAAATATAGTAACAGCTTTGTTCGTAGCTCTATTCAAATGTTTTATTGTAGAATGAGACCATTTGGCAAGTAGTTTGACAAAAACATATTACTTTAATCCTATCCACAGAAAATAGCAAGTCTAATAAATTATGGCACTACGAAAGCTACTCCTTTATTCTTAGTGACGTTCATGAGAATGTTTTTCTCCAGCACTACTGTCTGAGGCTTATGTGCAGCTTCTTTCCAGTTTTTGTTGTGGAACACTCTTTCCTGGCGCTTGAAAAATTGTATCCGTCACGTTTTATTTTCTCCTGGGATTTGTAAAGAAGTTTAAACTCACTGTGACACTATCAATGAAATTTTGCCCGAATTGTAAGTGTTTCTGTTGAATTTATGATTTACCACATATGTCATAAGTTGACAAAATATATTTCTGTATATATCTTTAAAATATGATGCCATATTTCTCTCCTTCCTCCCCAAACCACATTTGGCCTAGTTATGGAATTAAATGTTGAACATGTAGTGCTGTTGTTCTTACTTTGTCATAGTAATGATTATGTATGGATTTGCTTCACTAAATTTGGAAGGGTATTTCAGTATTAACAAAACGTGTTTACAAGTAAAATTTTATATCTTGCCTTCAGTGATGGGATACATATAGATGTTCCCAGGTGGTTTCCCATCCAGGCACTTGTCAGATTCAGACCTCATCAGACTATGTTCTGTAAACTTTGATATGAATTTCTCATTTCTGTTTCCTAAGACCAAGGTTATGATCTGAAAATACACATCATACTAAACTCTGTCAGAAGCCCCCTTTTTAAGCAACTACTAAGTTACTGAACGCTATGCTAAACTATAATTTAGCACTACAGCATGAGTCTGAACAGGATAGGGCTTACATACCCACCTCTTTTCCTCTGACATGGCCATGAGATTGGAAGGTTTTGCTTCCATTTTAACTTCCAATAGTTATGTACTTCCATCCAAATTAGAAACTGTGCCAATATTTACTATGGTTCAGGGAAACAAGCTAGCATAATCAACTGTGTTTTGACATTGGCTTGTTCTTCAACCAGGGTGGCCAACATTTGGCCCTCCAGATGTCGTTGGACTCAATCTCCCATCAGCTCCAGCCAGCATTGCCATTGACCAGAGATGATCAGATTTGTAGTCTGATAACAACTAGAGGGTCAAAGGTTAATACCCTCACACAAAACCATAGTTTACACAAATTATTGTTTGTTTGGGCACAGCCATAACATGCAGCTATGCTTAGTTGGAATTGGAAGCAACAGGTTGTATCTCTTTTTGGCTCTACTAGAAGAGAACAGATTAATGGGGAAGAATGCAAGTCTACAGACACATGTGAGTATCACTAAATCATAGTTTAATGTTACGTATGAATCTGACAATATGCCATGGTGGCAATGGGGAAAAGCTTAGGGCAAGTTAAAGTAGTCTTGGGTTTGTTTCTGCATGCTTCTGCATTCAGTCTTGATTGGCCTTCAGTATGAATATGCTCTCATCTGCTAAAAACCTATCTGGTGTCATACCAATGACAGTCTGATGAAACTGGAATTCAGCACAGCTTGATTCTTTTCTTTTGTTCCCATGTGCTAACATTCGTGTGAATAAGTCTCTAAGACTACAGTCTTTACACACATTCTAAGAAGTAATCCTCATTAAGCACTCTGAGGCATACTTTCAAGTCAATATGCATAGACTAGACAATAGGATGTTCCTATCTAGTCCTATCTAGCGGGTGGCGCTGTGGGTTAAAGCCTCAGCACCTAGGACTTGCCGATCGAAAGGTCGGCGGTTCGAATCCCCGCGGCGGGGTGCGCTCCCGTTACTCGGTCCCAGCGCCTGCCAACCTAGCAGTTCGAAAGCACCCCCGGGTGCAAGTAGATAAATAGGGACCGCTTACTAGTGGGAAGGTAAATGGCGTTCCGTGTGCTGCGCTGGCTCGCCAGATGCAGCTTGTCACGCTGGCCACGTGACCCGGAAGTGTCTGCGGACAGCGCTGGCCCCCGGCCTATAGAGTGAGATGGGCGCACAACCCTAGAGTCTGTCAAGACTGGCCCGTACGGGCAGGGGTACCTTTACCTTTACCTTTATCTAGTCCAAATATCTTAAAATCCCTCACGCCGAGCAGAGCTACTGCTTCAGCTGGATGGAGGAATTAACATGAACTAATGGGGCCACATCACTTCTCAGCAGAGATTTGTGCAAGTGAATGCCTATGCCTCTCATGCAATTTCAAAACTCTATGTAGTCCCATCTATGCATATATCATTTCTTTGATGTGGCTATAGCTTTGCGTGTCTTTTTAAACATTTGTTTATGAGATCTTGCTGCCTAACTTTGTTCTTCCCCTCATGCTTCCACTTAGGTTCCTCTTATGGGCCATGATAAAGCCAAACTATTGTCTCTTGTTTAATAGTGCTTTCAGACTGTGTACAGTATATGGCAAATGATTCTCTGATGAAATTTTGCGCTCCTCTTCTGAGTAACACAATACCCAAAGGTGCAGTCATCCAGAAACCTGTGGCTGAACAATGTAATGCTTAAGTACTTTTTTTTTTTTGCTCCCCCCCCCCTGCTTGTAGCATGACTTTTAACAATGGGCTCAAGTATCAGTAACAGGGAATTTTTCTTCTTGCTACTGGTATTAGAAACAGTGTTTTACCTGTTTTTTATTTTGATTCTTTAATTGCTGCCAGGTTGCTCTATTTGATGTCCTGTCATAGCCTTGAGCAAAGGTTTCTGGCCAAGTTATAATCCATTTGAAATCAAGGAGTTCATAATGGAAAAACTGATAATAACAATAATAACATTGCTATTTGGAGTGAGGTCACCTTTTACCCCTAACCATTCCCTTAGTAAAAACAATACTAGCAGAAAACACAACCATGTGTATTTCAACATGCCTGCTTACAGCCTGGTTTCTTTGGGCCGAAAGAGCCATGAATAGTATTTTTGGTTGTTTTACTCAGTTTTTAAGTAACCTCTGAAATGGTTGATGCATTAAAAAAATAAAAGTTATGACTCCTTTTTAATAAACTTTTTTATTTGGTTATTTTATGCTGTACATTAAAGGACCCTGGAATGTTTACGAGGCTTAATAAACTCGCCAAATCATCCTAACCCAATATTTCACAAATGAGTTGATTATTTTTTCCTGCCCTTGCTATATCCACCCACCTGTCAGACTGTTTTATTTGGCAGTGTGTGTGTGTGTGTGTGTGTGTGTGTGTGTACAAGGGTTGGGGAACATGAGGCCCTCCAGATATTGTTTAACTCCCAACTTTCACCACTCTCAGCCAGCATGGCCAACATCTGGGATTGGTGAGAGTTGTAGTTAGTCCAGCAACATCTGGAGAACCACAGGCTTCCCACCCCCAGTCTGTATAAACACGGTACTCTTACAAGATAAAAAAGGTAAACTCATACAACACTGGATTGGATCCATGCTAATCTAGTTGAATTTAAATAAATGGGACTTAATTTTCAAATCATGAGTAACTTGTTCCAGTGATTTTGATTGTATCCTTCTGCATTAACTTGAAGAAATAATTAACTTACCATTGCATATAAAAATTATGGAGCATAGGACCCTTGGCAGACCCATGATGACAAGGAGATGCAACCTTGTACTCAGAATCGCTATAGCAGGGATGGGGACAATTTTTGAGCCCAAGGGCTGCATTTCCTCATATGCAGCTATCCATGGGCTATGTACCAGTTGTGAGTAGGATCAGAGCCAACAAATGGGTTACATTGAACCCACACAATAGTTAGAGGTGGCCACCCATACACACCCTACATCTCTCCAGCCTGTCAAGAACTACACATTATCAGAGCAAAGCAAGCTGCAATCCCTGGTTTGGACGTAACCACTAAGCTGTGGATAATGGTTTATTACCCTTGAACCTTAGTAGAAGGAAAGCAACTCAGAAAGGCACATTATTGGTAAATTATTATTGTTTACTATAACATGTGAACTGGGCCAAGACAGGTGCCTACAATTTTAATATTTCATCACTTGCATAAAAGTGTTTTTCTTTTGCCAAGTGTTTTTAAATAATTATTTGGATTCCGTGTTGGTCATTTGTTCTGTATCATATTATTTTTAATTGTTTTTTAACTTTATTTATTTTATTTTATTTTATTTTATTGTACACCACTATTATACTTTCTATGAGTTAATGGTTTATAAAGGCTCGAATGAATGAATGAATGAATGAACTGAATGAAATATCCAAATTTTCTGCATTGTATAATGTAGGTCAGGCAACATGCAAAGCATCTTTAGAAAATAAGCTAATCCCATCTTTATCACAAAGTATTGACATGTCAAATCCTGTTATTTTAAAGCAAGAATGCAAAATGTATAAAGCGGTTTCATAGCACTATCATTTGCTCACTTCATACCTTTGATACTGACCTCAATGATCCCATGCCTATGCAGCAAAATGGAGCTACTGAAACATTGAGGATGTCAGTTGGATGTGACAGGGAACAAGGTGGAGTTGGGTGAAATTGCACAGCCTGACTCGCCCCTCGCAGCTTCTGGTATTCTGGAGGGAGGATTAAGGGCAGTCCAGAATGCTCCATGCTTTTAAGAAATCAGTCTGATCTGAAGATAGTGAGCAAAAAACTACACCTCTAGCTCCAGAGCTTAGTTGTCTTGCACTGTTGCACTATGTGGTTTTTTCAAAGAGCTCAACCCTGCCCTGCCTGATAATTCTCATACGTCCCCATCTTGTTATTGCAGCTGGGTGTTTATCTCACTCTTTTAAGCTCTGAGGTGTCATCATTACAATTTATACACAATAATGAGATTGAGACTTTGTTTTATAAAGCTGTTTAGGCATTAGTGATATTTAGGTATATTGAGTACTCCACTTACCTGATGGTTTGTCAGTGGAAGTTGGGATACTGGTAACTGAAGACATGGTTGGGAGAGTCGGTGGTAGAATCTTTAAATTCTGGTCACTCTGGATCTCATTGGTGGATATTTGGTTAGTGATACGATTGTAAGTGGGAGGCTGGTAGACTCGATTTGGTGGCTGTGGAGGTTGTGGGATTGGTTTAATGGAGGGTGTTCTTTGGCAGTACTCTTCTAGCTGTGCAATTATTATAGACTGGTTATTAGCAATGGATACCAAATGTTGGTACTTGTGCTCCAGGTCTTTGTATTTATTTGCAAGCTGCAACATGTCAGCAGTCTGATTCAGTATCTTATTTTCCAGTTGGGAAAGTTCTAAAGCATTGTCCCGTTTTCGGATGATCTCATGCAGCAGCTGCATGTACAACTGGGTGACCCGTGAGTTCATGTTGCGGCTCTCTTTTCGTAAAAGCTTCACCTCATTAACAATTCCTCCATCTACCTCCACCAGTTGCTGGAGGGTTTCTATTTGCCTCTTTTGCTTTAACAGCTCATTGTTCAGTAGCTCTAGTTCTTGCTTATTTACCCTGTTTTCAAGTACTTCGGGTTCCTTTGAATTAACACAAATGGCACCCGTCACTTTCTGCTGAGGTACAATGAAGGTATAAGTGCACTTGTCTTGTGTGTCGCTGGAGCGCTTATACCTGTTTGTGTAAATGAATTCTTGCTCCTCTCCCTCATCGCTGCCTTCGAAATCTTGGGTCTTGCTGGCACGCACTCCCACAATAGCCATTAGCAATAAGCAAACTGCTGCCTTCATGGTCCCTTTATTTTTGAATTGGCTTGTATGAAAAGCGCTTTGTGATCTGTTTTAAATAAGAAGTACATACGCAATATTAAATACCCAGTAATAAATCACAGCAAACAAAAAAGCAGTACTGTTCTACTAGGCAGTAAATGTGTTTTAAAAATGGTAACTGATCCTTAGAAATACCTCTTTATTTAAAAGTATGAAACTGTTGTTCAAAATCAAGTTAGCAGTTAGGCAATTTAACAGAATCTGGTTAACCAGAAATCTGGTTAAATTGGCCTTCTAAAAAGAGAATGGACAAGGTTGTCATAAGCCTCATTATCTGTAGTGACTAGGTGTCTCCCTTGTGATGGGGGAAATAAATAAATATGTATATACAGACAGCATGTTAGTAGCTTACAGATTCTTTTGAAGTAAATAGTAACACCCTGGGCTTTGTTCTGATGATTGCTTACATCTCTCCATCTCTCCCTCCCTTGCTCTCTCTGATATGTAGCTTGCTGGGGTCAGCAAACTTTTTCATCAGGGGGCTGGTCCACTGTCCCTCAGACTTTGGGGGGGGGGCTGGGCTAATTTTTTAAATAATAATGAATGAATTCCTATGCCCCACAAATAACACAGAGATGCATTTTAAATAAAATGACACATTCTACTCATGTAAAAGCATGCTGATTCCCAGACCGTCCACAGGCCAGGTTTAGAAGGCGATTGGGCCAGATCTAGCCCCCGGGCCTCAGTTTGCCTACCCATGCAGACTGAATGGCTGTTTACAACCGTTAGAAGCAGAGGTAGAAAGAGCGCCCTGCACAACTCTGTTTAATGTTGGTGGGAATAGCAGTCTGAGATGTGGAAAAAGTGGTAGGTGAGAGCTCACTGGTTGTTGTTTTACTAATAAATTGGGATAGATTAGCTTCATACAATGCCCTCTTGTCCTATCAAATACTGAGTAAACCCAGTAGGGCCAGGAAAAGTTGGAAAACAGTTGCTCCAGTGCTTGGGCTTCTTCAGGGAGAGCCCTCAGTCTGATTTGATAGATGATTTGAAATAAGAGGAGGCATTTTGAAGATGTGTCCATATTCTGCTCTTCTTCAGGAAAGATAGTCATTAGACTGAGTGAGGCAGCCACCTCACATGATTGATTTTGGATGTTATTAAATGGCAACAAATATTTAATTGCTGTGTTTTTATTGCCAGGTAGAGGCATCTGTGGAGTTTTTTACCTCAAGTGCCAAAATAACTTGACCTGCCTTGTTTACTATAAATCTTAATTAGGTTGGGTGGAGGAGTACAATCCGGTGCTCTGCCTCAAGAAGAAGAATATATTGTGACAGATGTAGTGCCTGGTGCCTTCAGTTACCGAATGCTCAGTTTTACTCATTGCTTCATTTTCATTTACTATGGCTTACAGCCAAATGAGTAAGTGTGCTGGTGGCCAGTGATAAAATGGTGGTTGCTTTGTTCCTCCCATGGACCTCCTGCTGCCATTCTACAACAAGCTACACAACAAATTTGTTTAGTGTTAGCTGTAAAAATGGGCCCATGGTTTGTCTTTCTCAAAGCAAACCATGAGCTGTGTAACCATAGTGTAGCTCCCGAGCTAGGTTCAATTCTAATGTTCTGCAAAGTTCAGTCCCAAGGAAAGTCTTTAAAATAGTGAGCATTTAATAAAAATGATTTGAGGGGAAAATTATAGTGAGCTTTGGTTCTATTTTCTCTAGATGTGTATTGCAGAGTCCTTTGGCTGGAATATCTAGAAGTAGCACCCCAAAATGTTTCTGGGTTCCCAAGAAAACCTCTCAGATTGATTATACAATTAAATTTCTATTCAGACCTTTCGAAAAGCCTACAGCAAGGTAACAGCAGTTTTAAAAAAGGAAATACAATAAAACAGAATACTCAAAATATCTACTTCATAGATGTGAAGATTTTGTAATGCCTAACTAATTCCCAAATCAAAAGCCAATCCAAATGAGACAGCACTTTAGTAAGTACTTGAGCTCAGACTATGACGACATCAAGAAAGGATTTCTAGTGTTAACATAATGCATGATAGTACTGTATTACAAAATTCTTTTGTGAAAGGAAGAAGGAACTGTTATAAACTCTGTGTAGTCTTTAAAGCAATGCCAGTCAAATTCTTGAAGAAATTTGAAGCATAAATTAAAACTCCCTCAGACAGCTTTAACTTGCATTTGCACAGTGGGTCACACTTGGTGACCCTGGCAGGCTTCCAGCCCTCTTACTTTACACAGTTGAACTATTCTTGAAAATGTCTTCAGCATAGTAGTTGTTAAAAAGCAGGCTCGGGGGTGGGAGTGAGGACTTGCTTCAATGTATAGCTTTCAGGTCTCTCTTTTCCCTCTTTCTCCTTTCAAACCCTTATTAAACATGACTAGAATCTCAGTTTTTCTGTTGAAATTCCTTCATGTTGTATTTTTACAGTGTTTCTCCATTTTAAGAGTAGGCTAGCATAAAGGCCATAATGCCTTAATGCTCTAGTTTTGCTATCACAAAAGCTCCTCCTCCAACAACAACAACAAAAGTGCCCAGATAAAGATCATTTGTATGAAGATAAGTCATAATATTAGCAATGTTTGTACTTAGATGCACTATAGCAGCAGCTGTTGCTATTTCTATCACTAGTAATTTATGTAGCATCTTATATTTTAGTGTTTATGTCCCTTTGCTGTGCCAGCTTTGCTGATGTTAGTGCCATGGGCCCCTTGGCTCTGACATGATATGGCGTGGAGGAGGAAGAAGGAGCAAATGGGGGACTGGAAGACTGGCATCCAGGAATGAAGAAGAGATGTCCTCCCCTTGTGACTCTAGATGTGAGAGAGGGAGAAGCAGAGCTGCCAGCTCTCTCCTCTGCTCCTCCTGAAGAGTTTCTCATCAGTGAGGAGGGGAGGACTTTGGCCAGCAAGAAGGAGGATCTGAACAGAAGGAGGTGGCAGCCAAGCTAGAGGCAGAGGTGCAGGACACAATCTTGTCGCCAAGAACTAGATGGTGCCTTTGAACGTGAGATCAGATGCACCCAGCCAAACAGCACACTTTGTGCATGTTGCAGAACTATAGGACAAACGAGTCTTCTGAGTGAGCTCACCCTGCCTCATCTTTAAAAGCTTTGTGGGAGGGGCATGTCAACTGTTGGGACATATTCATAGGTTTTGTTCTATTGTGAACCTTGCTTATGAACTTTGGAATCTTGACTTCTGGCCTTTGTGCTTGCTGCTGAGCCTGTACTGCTATTAGCCTGAATAAAGATTTCTTCTTTGTTTACAAGTAAGAGTTGTTATAGGGACGCGGGTGGCGCTGTGGGTAAAAGCCTCAGCGCCTAGGGCTTGCCAATCGAAAGGTTGGCGGTTCGAATCCCCGCGGCGGGGTGCGCTCCTGCTGCTCGGCCCCAGCGCCTGCCAACCTAGCAGTTCGAAAGCACCCCCGGTTGCAAGTAGATAAATAGGGACCGCTTACCAGCGGGAAGGTAAACGGCATTCTGTGTGCTGCGCTGGCTCACCAGATGCAGCTTTGTCACGCTGGCCACGTGACCCGGAAGTGTCTCCGGACAGCGCTGGCCCCCGGCCTCTTGAGTGAGATGGGCGCACAACCCCAGAGTCTGTCAAGACTGGCCCATACGGGCAGGGGTACCTTTACCTTTACCTTTTAAGAGTTGTTATCACTGTACTTTGGGACAGGAGCCTGACAGTAAGAATGGTTGTTGCTATTTATATTTAAAGATGGGAAACTGAAGCTGAAAGTGACTTGTCCAAGGCCACATAGTGAGTTTATAGCTGAGGTGGAACTTTAGCCAGATCAGATTTCAGCTCCATAGCCACTCAACCCTACTGGCTCTCTTTAACAGTTCTACCTTTCACCTTTCCTTCACACATTTTTTAAAAGCACATTTCATGCTCTGAATCCAAAAGAAAAAAACCCATGCCTTTGAACTTGGTTTACTGGTTTGGAGAAGTTCTTTTGCTGTTGTGTTTTAGTGTGGAATTTTGAGTATGCTGAAATCAGTGCCTGAGCTTCCATTAACACAAGTAGGGCTGGTATTTCTTCTAACCATCTGGTCTTGGCTATTCAAATGGCTGGCAAAGGGGTAAGAAGAGTGAGGCAGTAATGGACCTTACTGTGTTTACTCTTAAAGCGTTTGTTCAACTAATTGTGTCTCGAGGGGCACAACTGAAAATGTTCTTATCTAATAAGTAGAGGGGAAACAAGCTTCCAAAGAAAATATATTACTTTTCTCCCCTGTTCCTGACAAGGAAAAACAAAACTAGATATTTTCCTTGGCACTTCAAGTTACAAGTGAGAAAACCAAGACTCACTGTGGGAATTATCATGTTGCACTGTAAGGCTTTTTTACATATACTTTCAGCTTTTAAGTTATAGCATGTTTTGCTACTTTTGTTAAAGTTGCAAATAAAATTTCTTCAAAATTTCTATCAAATTATCATTGTGATGCTAGATAAAGTTTTCCTTCCTATGCCAGGACCTCATTTATATTATATTTGTAGCTCAGTGCAAGTTAAGGGTCCACCAGCCAGGAGAGGAGAGTACTTTATTTCTAAATGCTAGAGAGAATAAAAAACAGAGCTTTTTTCAGCCAGAACTCACCAGAACTCAGTTCCAGCACCTCTCAGGTGGGCACCATTGCCATTATAAGAGAACCAAGGAAGCATTCATGCTGAGTTCTGGCACCTTTTTCTAAAAAAATAGTGCTGATAAGAACTATATGATAACATTTAGCAAGAGCTCAGATCGATTGGACCCCAGACATTTTGCCATCCCAAGGGGCTATATTATATGATTTGAGGACAGTGTCCTAGAATCTTTAATGGTGTCACAAAGCTTGCACTGACATACCCCTCAAAAATATCCTTCATCCCCAGTAATTTCGCGTGTTGATTATACAATTAAGACTAAAATGCTTGAGATAATATGATGTTGGAATAGTATGTTATTTCTGACACAAGAGGCACCTTCTAGGAACCTCCCCCCACCCATTGAAAAGCACTCTGCCTTTTATGCAATTTTTCGGATACCCTTTTTGTT